CGCGTTGAGGTTCTTCCCGAAAGCCTTCCAGTAATGTGGCTTGTCCCCGAAGAGCGAGAGACTGATCACCTTCTGCCCTCCGCCTGCCAGCCACGCCCTCCGGCCACAGGCGCCGCCCGCGTCCTCCCACGAGAGACTGGAAGCGTCCTCAGGAAAGCACAAATTGCCATAGCAAGGGCAGTCGCCTCCTTCCCACCAAGGCAACGGTTTCTGCTTCTCGGAGGCATGGCAAGTGTGGCATTAGAGAGCAAGAAAAGTGTAAATACTATGTAAATTATTAATGTGTTTATACTTTGTATATGTTTATATGTACAGATACATTTATGTTATATATGCATGTGTGTGTACATATGTATAAATATGTTTATACATACATCATACATCCACACACACATATATGTGTTTGTGTGTGTGCGTGAATTCATTTATGTATGTATATGTTTATGTATTATCAATGCTCCATTAGCAGAGCACTGGGTTGGTACGGCTGTTGTAATTCCTCTTAGGTCAAGTAAGGTTTGTCTTTTGTTTATGAATGACATTGTCTATTAGGCAAAGCTTTACACATTTGATAATTAGTATTGAAATTCGTAAACATGTATGATTTAATTTATTTAATGTATTTAATTTATTAATTTAATTTATTTAATGTATTTAGTTTATGTATGTGCATGACTTATATAGAGATATAAACACCAACACGTGCGTGCATGCGAGTGGCAGTAGCATAGAAGAGGTCACTCACCTGCTCACTGAACCGGAAGACGCTACCCGAATTAAAAGCGGATTTCAAGAAGGTCACTTGCGGAATCCTTGGCAATGCTTCTTGGTAGAGGAAGAATCCTATGCCAGCGACCAGAAGGATGATCAGAAACCTCTTGAAGGATGGCCAATTACTCGGTACCTGAGATAAGGAGAGAGATAAAACAAAGTCTAAAAAAAATAGAGAGAAAGGTAGAGGGAATTAGAAAGAAAAGGACCAAATGAAAGAGGTGATGGAAACAAATTGACGGAATATAGAATATACAAAATGAACAAAGAGAGAGAATGAATTACTTGCACGCACACACATGTAAACCCACAAGTTCTATTAGAGTCGGAATTCCTTAATCTGAAAGTATCCCAAACGCCTTTAAGCTTTTCAGTACTGTGTATAGCACTATAATGACAGCAGAGTGACTGAAAGATAACATACAAGGTAACTTCTTTTTTTTCCTCCATGCTTCGCGCTCCTTATAATGCTATCAACATCGACAGTAATTACTATGATAATAAATATTGCAAATATTGAGAACAAAAAAACAAAAAAAACTAAAAATAACAAGAATGATGATGAGCAATCGCAGTGATGATGAAAACGATAATGATCCACCCAAACCACTGCAGCTTGGCACCACAGTTGTTAAGCCCTTAAGTTGTTAAGCCCTTAAGCCCACTTGACACAAGTTGCTCGAGTCAGCAGCATTCGACACAGGGCGGGCTCCCTTCATAAGTAAGCCCGGGCGAGGCTCAGCTTAATATTTCCGACTTATTCTTATATATTTTACTTTGGACATTTAGAAATCACAAATTTGGAAATCACTTTAATTTTCGAATTATTTTGGAAAGGTTTCACAAAAGGTTTTTTAGAATGAAGGCAAACAAAAGAGAAAGTAAGAGAGTGAAAAAGAAGAGAGAGAGAGAGAGAGAGAGAGAGAGAGAGAGAGAGAGAGAGAGAGAGAGAGAGAGAGAGAGAGAGAGAGAGAGAGAGAGAGAGAGAGAGAGAGAAAAGGAGAGCGAAAGGGCGAGGAAGAGGGCGAAAGAGAGAGAGAGAGAGAGAGAGAGCGAGGACAAGGACGAAAGAGAGAGAGAGAGAGAGAGAGAGAGAGAGAGAGAGAGAGAGAGACTGAGACTGAGAGGGAGAGAGAGAGAAGGAGAGAGAGAGAGAGAGAGAGAGAGGAACTGAGGCTGAGAGAGAGACTGAGAGAGATAGAGAGGGAAAGAGAGAGACAGAGAAACTGAGACTGAGAGAGAGAGAGAGAGAGAGAAACTGAGACTGAGAGGGAGGGAGAGAGGGAAGGAGGGAGAGAGAGAGAGGGAAAGAGAAAGAAGGAGAGAGAGAAAAAGAGAAAGGGAGAGAGAGAGAGGGGTGGGGGAGAGAAAGAGAAAGAGAGAAAGAGAGAGAGTTAGAGAGTTAGAGAGTTAGAGAGTTAGAGAGAGAGAGAGAGAGAGAGAGAGAGAGAGAGAGAGAGAGAGAGAGAGAGAGAGAGAGAGAAGAGAGAGAGAGAGAGAGAGAGAGAGAGAGAGAGTGAGAGAGAGAGAGTGTGTGTGTGTGTGAGAGAGAGAGAGTTAGAGAGAGAGAGAGAGAGAGTAGAGGGATTGATTCTAGGTATGTTATTCATATATTACCACGCAATTTCCCTGGTACCTTCCATACCCTTCCTGCTATCGTGGAATTATTCAATGGATACTGTCTACATAAAAAAAAAAAAAAAAAAAAAAAATGTTTACCAGTTTCATG